CCGATCTCCCCAAAACCCCAAAACCCCTAGTTTAAAAAAGATAAATTAGGGATTTAAAATATAAAAAAATACAAATTTAGTGAAAATTTTAAGATAATACTGATAATATCGCTAATCTGATATTTTAAGTATAGAAAATTTACACGATTTAAAGTAGTTAAATCATTAGAATTTTCCAGCTAAGATTTTGAGGCAAATACCTGTTAATACTCTAAAGAATATAGCAAGGGCTGCAATAATCCAAAGGCAGGTTGCTAGTCCTATTTTATAGCCTAAGAATTTGACTAGATCAACTTCATTAGATGCATATTTCCTTTCTCCAAATTCATTCCAAACAAATGCTTCCAGGGCATATCTGATTGGAGAGATGTACTATATCCAACTGATCCAAGATTGGAAAGTGCTAGCATTTGAGAAGAAACCACTAAACATAATCATTGGCATTAGAATAACTGGGGCTATTGCTAATGCAGTTTCTTATTAATTGAATAAACTTGAGACGAACATTCCAAATGATGATGAACTCAATGAAAGTAAGAATAATATCAGGTAATAGTAGAAGAATTGACTAGCTGTAATTGATAAGCCAACTCCAAAGTAAACAACAATTGTCCATACCATTGGCTAAATTACCAGTACAGGAATTTCAATTATACTCTTTGCTAAATAATAAGGGAGCACTCCATACATCTTATTTGCCTTTTCTCTTAGGAAGATCGGTCTTTCTATTTGAAAAGCCAACAGATTGCCTTGCATGTGAGTGAATAATGTGCTAATACAGCCAAAGAAGAGATATCCTGCTAAACCAAATTATGTTACGAAATTATTTCCAGATAGATCCCAGAAAAGAGCCAAACTAAGGAGCCCGATGAATATTGAGTAAACAATCTTTATTGTGAAAGCTTGTGGGTCTTGTAGTTATTAAGATCCACTTCTTTTTAATAGTTCTTTGAACTATATCATAGCAGAGGCTTAACTAAGTTTTCTCTCAGCGAAATCAATTTCTTTATAAGATCCTTAGTACGATTCCTCTTTAATCTGTTTTTGTAATTTAAGGTCGTATTGAGATTTTAGATAAGCAACTTTTTTCTCATCATTGGGCTATTTAGGATAGTTGACTGTTGTTATTCTCATGATAAAATCAGCAGGGTTAGCGAATTTAGGACATGGAATGTTAATTTACTTAAAATAACTGGCAACGTCAGATGCTTTTCCTTAGTACACAATGTGGCCATCGCACATATAAATTAATCTATCAAATAGGGCGAAAGAGTCTGAACCTGGCTGATGTATAGTTGAGATTACAGTTTTTCCTTTTCTGGCTTATCTATTCAGTAGTCTTACTATCTAAAGTGCTTTAAAACTATCAAGCCCTGAAGTAGGTTCATCAAGGAGTATCATTGAGGGGTCTGTTATCAGTTCTACACCGATAGCGACTCTTTTTCTTTCTCCTCCAGATAGTGTCTTTCTTTATTGATCTCCGATTGGAGTATCGGCACACTGTCTTAGGCCAAGTTCTTATAATAAGGATTCCACCTTACTATTCTGCTCTTCTTCTGGAACATTATTAAGCTTAAGTCTTGCAGCGAATCTCAGTGCTTATCTTGGGGAATAATATGAGAATAGGATATCATCTTGCATTACATAACCGGCTATACTCCCAAATACGTCTTAAGTTAATGGGTTCTTGTCGTTTATCATTAGCTTTCCACTAAGCTTAGTGCCTGCCTTATTAGAAGCTCTATCACTGAGGATGTTTAAAAGAGAAGTTTTACCAGCACCTGAAGAACCCATTATGTATAATGTTTCACCTGGCATTGCATAGCCAGATACTCCTTTGATAATTTCTTATTTTATAAAATTTGTTCCTTTTTCTCTTGCTTCATTTTTACTAAGCTTAATAGTAACTTCAAATCTCACATCTTCAAATGTTAGTTTTACTGGGTTGACAATAGTATTAGTACTGCTTGAGGCTTTTTATCCCTTTATTGCAAGTCCTGGTAAATCATTGTTTCCGTCTAGCAATGAGTTACGATTATGTACTTTTCCACTTTTATTTACTGGAGTATTTTATTTAGTATTATCGTTAGCAAGCTTAATATTTGAGAGAGGTTTTTCATTATATTTGTTCTCTCCAAAGCTTTCTATGTCAGCATTATCGAAGTCTTATTAACCTTTTCTATTCATAGCGTATTTATTTTTATTTATGATTGGACACGACAATTGCTTAAATATTAAAGTGCATTACAAGCCACGTCATTTAACTATCCTAGCAGAAATCTGTTTAAAAAAGAATATTAAATCATACTAAGGCTTATTATATTGAAAGTTTAATAAATTTAATGTGATAATTAATGCTAATATCTTCTTTAATGATCCAAGTACCCCTTAATAGGGGTTTTGGGGTTTTGGGGTTTTGGGGTTTTGGGG